TGTCTTGCCCAAGGACACAACGACTCATGTATCGTGTGACAGACGAGCTCATGAGTATCACAGATCATGTCTGAATCATCGCTCTCAGAGTTTCTGTTATTCCCTCGCTGCTATCTGTGTCACACTGTGGTTGTTTCAGGTTCTGTGACTCTGAAAATCCACAAAGTACATGTAGAGTAAATCTGCCAGTAAATTAAATTTTATATGCTGGAAAAAAAACGGGTTAAAAGCAAACATGAAGTCTGAGAACGGCATCTGACGTCTGAGTTTTGGGAACTAAACTCATTTTGGAAGAATCGATGTTCATTGGAATAATTAAGACTGTGGGTTTGGTGGGTTTTCTCTGCTATGAAGAGCTTGCTGATGTTTGTCTCTGAGAGTGAATGCATGTTTGCAGGATGGATCAGGCTAAAGTTTTAAAGCCGCACATTTGTCCTTGAATTTGTTCCATAGCCTGTAAAGGAGGCTCGCTGTGTAGCAGATGGGATTTTAACCGACTTCCTGTTCACAGGTTTATGGACGTGCTGATGCTTCCTCCCTGAACTGGTTCCAAGATTTTTATATTGCTCCTTACAGTGCACCTGCTCTTTTATATGGCATATATAACTTGTACATATCTGTGTAGATACTCACGTCATTACACACATTCGCTGTGTATGTATGTACCTACAGACTTAACTTTAAGTTTATTTTTGGTTTCTCTTTTTTTCTCTTATCCTAAAGGAATTTTAATGTAAAAAATCTACATTCTGCTTACGGAGAGATGCCAATAAAGATCTATTCTATAATTTAGTGATGAAATGTGTTAAAGGTGGAAAAAAAGGAGGAAAACAAAGATTTCCTGACTTGGATGAGCCAGTTTCAGACGTTTCTATATTTGATATATTTATAGGAAGGTGTCGGGGACAGATGGTTGACATATTTTTATAGTTTGTAAATTTACTTTAGGACTGGTATCCTTGTCTCTCTCTAAATGTGGATATAATGGTCTCTAAATACAAAGACAAGTTTCGGTTTTCAGGTAAATGAGGTGGAGCATTGTGCTGATCGTGCTGTGTGTGTTTCTGTAGGTGACGGAGGCCATGGTTACCTGAAGGACTGGCTGTGGTGGGGAGGCCTGTTAACCAGTAAGAGTTTCAGTTCCATCTAATTTTCTGATCCACAGTTCTTTGTCAGTGCGGCTGGAGTACAAGCACAGCCAACAGCTGTTAGTTTAGGATGTGACATGTATACAAATCTGTCACGAAAGTAAACGGCTACGATATAAATCACAAAAATGTAACATTTTCTGTAAATTCTGTGAGTCTCGGGCAGCTCGACTTGCATGTTTTTTTTTCCAGCTGGGTGTCGGTGTATCTGGAGTCGAGTGTTTTAACCGATGCATGAAACGATACATTTTTAGACATAAGTTGTAACGCCACCGTTTTCTTTCAAAGTTTGAGTCTAAGGTTTGTTTTTCAGCACCTGACGGCTCTTTTTTTGCTTCTCCTCTGTAAACTCTCTGCATCCTCTTTCACGTGACTCAGTTTATTTTGAAAAGTCTCAACAGGATCTTGAGCTTTATTGTGAAAGGTTTACATGGAAAACAAACAAGCGGACATGCGGAGCCACGCGATGGTTTTACCGTCATTGTTGCTAACGACGACACGACACAGGCGCTTGTCCGCCCGTAGTGTGGTTATATTAAATATAAGAGAAAGAGAGAAATGAATATAGCCACTACAGTGACCATCAGAACGATGAAAACATATTGCTGTAAACAGTTTATTTTGTGACACCACGAAACAAACGATAGCGTAAAATGAAACGATAAATGTTTTTATATCGTTATATCGAACAGCTTTACTCTGTTCTGTATTTTTCTCTCGTATGATGGAGCTAAACAGCAGTTTCCTTCAGCTAAACTCATCCTGGATCTTATTCGGTTTATGTTCGAGTGATTAAAAATATTTCCTATGTTGCTGTCAGCAGTGATTTTCTCTTCCTCTGCAGTGGGAGCAGGAGAAGTCTGCAACTTCGCTGCCTACATGTTTGCTCCGGCCACGCTGGTGACTCCGCTGGGCGCCCTGAGCGTCCTCATCAGGTAGCTCTAGTTTGTAAATTTAAATCCCGTTATGTTTGTGTTTTAAAGCAGCATGTTTGTCCTTGAATTTGCTTCTGTGGTCTGTATCGAGGCTAACGTGAAGTCCTGTGTGCTCTGCAGTGCAGTTCTGTCCTCCTACCTGCTGGGGGAGGTGTTGAACATTGTGGGGAAGCTTGGCTGTCTGCTGTGTGTGCTAGGAAGCATCCTGTTGGTTATCCACGCCCCACAAGAACAGGAAGTGACATCACTACGGGAGATGACCAACATGCTGCTGGAGCCTGGTGAGAGGGGTCGCTCTACTATCTCAAACTCAGAGCGTTCGGTCGTCGAGCTTCAGTTAGTTTGATCTTTTTTTTTTAAGGAAACTTTAGTTTACATCATTGTTTTCAGTTCAGACCCCCACAAAGACTCATATGAGGACTGAATTACTTCTGGATGCTGCCTCAAGTGGACATTAGAGAAACTGCAGTTTTTGTATTTTGACGTCTTTGTCAGCCTCAGAGGTCACGGCGTAGCCTTCTGTAAGGCCACAGAGGCGAGCTCGATGATGTCATTTTACCATGATGTCAGCAGTGTTATCTCACTGATCCAGAGTCTAAATGCAGGCACACTGATACAGATGTGAGGCTG